GCATTCCAAATGAAAACTTGGCAGCCCCCTAGGGGAAGGAGGCCCAAGAGTTGGCCTGAGAGATGATTAATTTATAATAAAGGCCCGCAGGGAATCACAGACCTGAAAAATGCCCTGGAAACATCGAGGTACAGCCTTCTCCCTGGGCCCTGCAAGTTTCACATTCTGAGACTCTGCCCAACCCCTTGAGATCCTCTTCTACAAAACTGCTCTATTTTCAGAGAAAAATGAAGACTGTTCTGAGTTCATTTTGTTGGGATTTTAAACATTTGCTATCTGTATTATTGCCCGTCTGAAGGGAAAGCAACAGTGCTTGGTGAATCTTGTTGGGACTTGTGTCTCATTCCACATTGCAAGTGCAGTCTTGCAAAGGTCAAAAGCTTAGCCAAACACTGTTTCAAAACTGCTATAATTAAGATTCATTTAGAGAAGGTCAGATAAAAAATGTGTCTAAGAAAATTATCAAGTTATGACTCAGCTGAACTATGTAAATCTTCTTTTTTAAAAGTAGCTGATGTTTCATAAGAAGCTCTATTTAAAAATATCTCTACTGTTCTTCCTAGCAAAGCTATGCTGTGAATACAGACATAAAGAAGAAAAATCTGACATTTTGGAAGCTTAGAAGTTGAGAGGTGGGATATTTGAATGAGATCATCAAAGTTTAATAAGCTACCCTTGGGCTGGGGGATTGATAAATTTTATATATGCCAAAAATTACTTTTTTAAAAACGGAATTTTTACGATTAAATTATCTGCCCTGTTTGCTAGTATCTTATTCTTCTCTCTAGATTGGTGGCTTCCAAATTTGAGCAAAGCATCAGAGTCACCTGGATGACTTGTTAACTTAAATTGTCCTTGGAGGTTCTAATTAGGTCCCTCTGGGATGGGACCCAAAATTGTATTGCTAATTAGTTCCCATGTGATATCAGTGCTGCTGATCTGGGACCACTCTTTAAGGAACCAATGTTCTAGATCACTATAAACCTAAAGTATTCACTGACTGCACACTAAAAGTATCTGGGGAACTTAAAAAAAATCTCCAAATGCTTGGTCATACAGAGACAGAATCTCTCTCTCTTTCTCTCTCTCTCTCTCTCTCTCTCTCTCTCTCTCTCTCTCTGGTGTCTAGGAAGTCTTGGACATAGAATATTTCTAAAGCAATTCAGGTGATCCTGATTCAGGCAGCCAAGACTGAGATTCTTTGTTCTTCACAAAGCCTACTCATATACCACTTCAAAGACCATGAGGGCAAAACAACAGCGAGGTACTTGTTGAACTGCAAGCTCCTGTGCCCTCTGTCTGGACAGCCACAAGGTGCAGGATGGCATCCTCCCATGCAGGGAGTAGCACTTTCTGGAAAGAGTTTGAAGTTTGTGCTATCAGCAAGATTACAAAGGCTTCTGGGAGTTTTCTTCTCCCTGATAACTGGGAGGGCAGCCTGAGTCAGAACAGGTTCACGTTGTTCTTTGGTATGTGATAGCTAATCTGGGGGACAATGAATCATTTTTAGATTTTTAAAAGAAAGGCAAGAAAGAAACAATTCTTTCTGCTTTCCCCAATATTTTCTTATTTAAGCTACTAACGCAACCAGAAGGAGGCTAGTAGAATTTTCTGCAGTCTTACAGATGCATAAACTGAGGCCCAACGGAGTTAAGTGAACTTAATCACAAGGTGGTGATGGATCTGTAATTTGAACCAGGCTGTTTCACTCCAAAGACAGGGCCCCTGCCACCTCACCACTTTTGCAGAGGCCTCTGGTGCTCTGGAGACCATTGATACCATGCAGATTGGCCGCATAATTTGTGCATCTCAGTACAAAATAAAGTATTTTGTTAAAAATACTTTAAGAATCTTGACCTACCAAAGATAGAGCTTCCATATGATCCAGCAATTCCACTCCTAGGTATTTACCCAAAGGACACAGAAACATTAATTCCAAAGAGCACCTGCACCCCTATGTTTATAGCAGCACTGTTTACAGTAGCTAAGCTTTGGAAACAGCCCAAATGCCCAAAAATAGATGACTGGATCAAGAAGATGTGGTACATATACACCATGGAATATTACTCAGCATTCAAAAAAGATAAACACATGCAGTTTGCAGCAACATGGATGGAGCTAGAAGGGATTATGCTCAGCGAAATAAGTCAGAAAGAAAAAGAAAAATACTGGATGGTCTCACTCATAGCAGGAATTTAGAAAACCTAAATAAGGGACCAGGAAAAAGACTAATGAATACAAAGTAAAAATCAAAATCAACAAGCAACTATAATCCAGAGACACACTACCAGGGTGGGGAAGGGGAAATGGGGAGAAAAAGGATTAGGGTCAAAATAAGGGGGTGGATGCAGTTGTATGGGGAATATAACCAAAATGAAAATGCAAACATTGTGTGAAGATGAAAAATGATGTAAGAATTATATAAAATAAAATATTAATTTTTTTTTTTTTTTTTAAGAATCCAAGAGGGCAGCAGCAGAGCAATGAACCAGGGTCCTGTACTAAGCACAGCCTCATGCCCATGAAGCCAGCCCTGATGTTATGTCTTAACCTGCACAAACTGCTATCAAACATTCTGCTTAAATAAGAAAGTCTGCTCAGAGGCACCCTAGTGGGGAGTAGGAGCCTCAGATCTGAGAACAGAGTTACTGGATTGTAATAATAGCACAGTGAATAATGTCCTATTATTCCTGTTGACCTCAAGCCTTTATTTAACCTCTCAGGTTCAGTTCATTCATCTGTAAATAAGGAGAGGGCAAATTGGGGCATTTCTAGACCCTCACAGTGTTTCTCAAACTTTTAAAAACTGAATATGTACATACCACATTTCAAACAATCTATCCTATATTTAGTATGATGGCTGTGATCATGGACTCCGAACACACACCAAATGAGTTCTGATTTTGACTCTGCTGTATTGTAACTATGTGACCTCAGTCAAATGCCTCAGTTTCCTCATCTGTAAAATGGAGATTGTTGTAAGGATTAAATAAATTAATATAAGTAAAGCCCTTGAAATAATGACAGATAGGTGATAAGTGCTATATAAGTGCTAATTATTTCTATGAAACATATGGCACCGGTACTAGTACTAGTTTGAACACTCAAATTGCTCAAGATATGGTTTTTCCTTTAATTTGACCCACTTTTAAATTAAAACATAATTATCAGATCCATGAGTATGTATCTTTCCTAGTGCATGTGAAAATTTATAACTATGTATTTTAAAAAGTTCATTCAAATACTCTAAAATCAGTCCATATATTACCAAAATCAGTCCATATATCACCAAACTGTGGGTAACACTGTGTTAGATATTGAAGGCCCCTCCCAGCTTTCATGGCCTAGGAATGAATGAGTAAGTCTATGAGCATTTATGTTTATACTTTCATTCATTGGACGAATACATGACAAAAATATTTCTCCCCACTTTAGTCACTGCTGACCATAGTAGAATCCTTCCATTGGTTAGCTACATGTTCTAGTATAAAAATGTTTAAACAGAGAAGAGAGCTTGTGAAGAAATCACACAAAGTCAAGGGTGTGCCCTTAAGAAATCCCCCTAAAGTTGAATGAGGGAGGAAACATTTAGTGAAAAATTGGGAATACATGCTTATAGGAAGTCATTGCAGGCCATTGGAGGGGAAGCATCTGATGGAAGACACACGCCCTTCCCTTGAGTACCACACTCCCCCACCCCATTTCCTTCTCTCTAAGTATTATCTCATAGGTCAGTTCAAATTCTACTCCCTAAAATTCCTTTCCAGTTGTTCTGTCTAGAAGCTTCTGTTTTCTTATCTGAAGTGTCCTTATAATCATTGAGCACATAGTATGTTCTAGGCACAGAGGATACAGTTTTGAACACCTGTATCACTCAAGATATGGGTGGGTTCCTCATCAATGAGTCTCTATACTGCTTGACCCGGGCTGCATTTGTCCTGCATGTCCTTAAGGAAGAGGCTATTTATTCTATTACTTTCCTATTCTTCGAAGCACCTAAGGATCCTCCTTAACTAAGTACTGTTTACCAGAGACTCCAGGGTTACAAAGTTGTGTAGGGAACATGAAAGTCATAACTTAAAATTAGCCTGCACTTTGCCCTCTCAAGTTATCAAAAGCACCAGACCCCAGCCTTCTCATAATTGTCAGTGCTTGTTTGATATGATGAACTTGTAATGTGAATACATAGTAAAGTGGTCACAGAGGAAAAATCAGAAATCTTGGGACAGGTACAGGACTTCCTGAAGGCCATGAATTTGAGTTTAAAGAACAACTCTAAACACACAGAAAGCTGTGGGTGATGGAGGACCTAACCAAGTCATATTATTTACGGAAGAAGAGAAAATAATGAGGATGATGTGATGATGGTTACTTCTCAAGAGAATGATGGGAATATTGAGGGATGTAGAAGGGAACATGGGAAAAAATGAGAAAACCCTTGTATATTTTACAAAAGTCAGAATGAAATGAGGGATGTTAAATGTTGCCATGATGCAATTGTGTCAGAAAAATTATGCCAACAAATCCACACTTAATTCATCCTTTGCTCATTTTAAAAATTAGGGCATGATTGCCATTTTAATCATAACTATTAAATATAAGATAAATCATTTTAACAGTAATTTTTAGTTTCACACTTTTAGTTTCTAAGATAGAACACGAATCACTTTCCTGCCTTCAGGAAAGCCACATTTCTAAAGTGGCTTAATTTTAAGTGGACTTTCTATGGTACTAATTATCCACTAGAAGTCCATCTAGTATTATTCAATGAAGTGATGGATTGATCAGCATCATTCTTCAGAACCAAGGGTCAAGACCCTAAGAGGCAGAAAGGGCACAACTGGCCTTATTTGATGCTAATGCAGAAAGCAAGTGTTCATAAGAACCAGCCAGGTTTCTCGTGGACCAGAGCCGCCTAGTCTAGCTAGGAGGTCATTTTGGGATAAGCTTGCTCAAGACCTTAAAAAGGAACTCTTAAGGCTCCAAAGGAAGTTGCTTACCCACAAAGCACCAGACTGCAAACCGGATCCATGTGATGGTGGAGAGCTTTAGCATGAGATAGATGTTCACCAGCATGGCAAAGGCGGGCACAAAGGGGAGGCAGGGGGCCATGTAGGGCAGCTTCTTGGGGTTCTCTGGCTGCTGCAGGATCACAAACACCAGGGCGCTGATCAGCAGCACCATCAGAACAACCAGAAGGATGGCCCACCAGCTCTGCTCTGAGATGTAGTCAGAACCAAAGATGATGAAGGAGCAGAAGATGAACATGAGAATGAAGAGCAGGAGCACGCAGATGGTCACCGTGTGCCCTGTCGCTGCTGTGGGCCGATCCATTTTTCCTGGAAGGCCCAACCGGATCCTCATGGTATAGTATCGGGGTCCAATCAGCTTCTTTAACTTGATGAGATAAATGTTTTCAGATTCATCGGCTTCTATGCCTGTGGTCATGTCCACAGTGCCATAGTTCGGGTGGTTGACATTGTAGGTTGTCTTGTCTGATTTCCCTATAAGCATCTCGTTGTCGCCCAAGGATGGTAAGTTCTTGGCCCCACATGTGTTGGTGGCTGGGCCAGAAAACTCTTCCCCTTCACTCACTGGAGAACACACGTCCTTCTCACACTCGGCCAGAATGCCCTCCTTCTTCTTTGTGTGCTCCTCAGACAAGAACTTGACAAAACCATCAATATCACTCTCTGGTTGGTATCGAAGGAGCAAGACACAGACAGACACCAAGGTGTAGGCCAGGAGCGTGCCGATGGACATCATCTCTATGAGGTCTCGCAGGCTGACTAGTAGCGAGAGGAGGGCTGCCAGGAAGCCTGACACGATGCAGGCCACCACTGGCGTCTCTGTGTAGGAGCTCACGTGAGCCAGGAACCTGGAGGGAGGTACACACAGAGGGTTAATGGTGAGCTACAGAGGGTGGCTCCCTCAACACAGCTTAGTGCTTCCTGGCCCCTCTCTGCTAATTTACTTCTGGATTCACTGCTTTTAACACATCTACTATTCCTACTCCTGGATTTGATTCCCTGGAATATAATTTAAAATCAATTTAATTCCTTAGTTTGGGGGCAAACTTTTAAAGTTCCTACTTTGCTATATAATAGGAAGGTTGATTGAATTTGGGAGGTTTGTCAGAAACCAAAATTGTAGGCCAGACATATGTTACTCAAAGTGTGGTGTGTGGATTAGCAGTATAACCTTGGAACTTATTGGAAATTCATATTTTTGGGTTCTACTGGAAATGTTTGTATTACATCAGAATCTCTGGGTTGGAACCCAGCAAACTATGCTTTAAAATACCTCTAGAGGATTCTGATTTATGCCAAAGCTTGAGACGCACTGCACTACAAAATTGCAGGGACTTAGCTGGCACAGTAGCATAACAATTAAGATAATATGCTCACAGATGCAAGCTTAATCCAGCCCATTACCAGCTGGAGAAGATCAACAAGGGCCATTGACAACATTATTTACAACAGCCAAGATAGGGAAGCAACCGATTGCCTCAAAACAGATGCATCAAGAAGATGCATATACACAACGGAATACTACTCAGTGATCAAAAAAAGATAAACTCAGGTCATTTGCAGCAATGTGGATGGAGCTGGAAGGGATTATGCTAAGTGAAATAAGTCAGAAGGAGAAAGACAAATATCAGATGCAGAATATAGAGAAACCAAAGGGTCAGAAGAAAAAAACAGACAAAACTTGCAAGCTGACCAGAAGTCTGAGGCACTCAGCAGGGGATGGGGGAGGGAGAGCAATCAGAACAGGGGAGGCAGGAGCACAGGGGACTGTGGAGATGGATCTATGGTGGTGGGAGAACTACAGGGACTACACCTGAGTGGAGAAATCAAATACCGTTCCCAAAGTAACAAAGATGTAAGAAAATAAATAAATTTATAAATTACTAAAAACAAAAACAACACAGAACTCCCCAAACCAAGGGGCATCGATTCACACAAGACTCTAGACTGTGCTCGGAGCCCAGCATCTTTACTCTTAGTGTTCTTTGACAAAAGCTTCTTAGCAGAAGAACCTTCTGGATATGTGAAGTTGTCAGAAACTTCTTGATCTGCCCAGTTTCCCAAGGACAGCAGCTCTGACCTGACCATGACTTCAGGGGTATGCAGATGAACTGGAGCAGAAGATGAGTTAGCGGAGAAGAGTCTCTGATCTGCACCCCTCAGAGCAACCCAGCCTCTGTGGTTACCCCTTTCCTGTGTGCTTGGAGAAGGCGATCTTTGCCAGCCCCTCATAGGGTGTGCCTTGGGACCCAAAAGATGGGGACCCCTCTGTGCCATGGGCACATAGACCCTAATGGGGGCCAGAAGTGACGATAGGTGGGTGTGGTTAAGAATTCTGACTTTGGAGTCTGATAATCCTAGTTTCAAAGCCTGGCTTCCAGTTCAGCTGGGGTCTAGGGGCAAGTTTTTCCCACCATTTCTGACATCTCGTGTACTCATCTGCAAAATAGAGTGATAATGATGCCTCAGTGGAATAATGGAAAGCACCTCAGAAACACAAACGTCCCGTGAACGGTAGCTATTGTGTTATTGGGTTCTCTTCAGAGGGTCTGATCATCTCTTTGATTGCAGCTTTGAGCTATTGCAACTTTGGAGGAGATGTAGAGAAAGGGGCCATTGCCAGACCCCAGTATGAGGCCAGACCCAACACATCCCTGGGCTGGGTTCTCTCTTCTGAAGGCCACCAATGCAGCAATTTGGCACCTACTGTCTTCACAAAGGCGCACACAAGGTCAGTCAGGAGTGGGGGGCAGCTACGGGAACATGGACATTTGGGCTACACTGAAGAATGACAGTCAAACTCAGGGACTGTTTCAGGCCTCAACCCTTTCCACACAAACTGTCAGATATCTAACAGTCTACTTAACAGGCACTTACATCAAAATCACAGTCAGGCTGTCAGCAGGTGACATTCATCCTGCCCAGGCAAGGCAAAACAGCAGCAATTCCACAGAGCACAGCCCTTACCTGAAAAGGAGCCCATCGCCAGCCATGGCATAAATGACCCTCGGCATCGGGAAGAGCGAGCCCAGCAAACTGACTGACAGTCCCGCCACCGACCCAATGGCGACCACAAATTTTGCAGCATAGAACCCGTGGGCCACAAACATCTCCATGAGTGGCGACTCCGTGTCGATGGCATGATATGGGACCATCAGAGTTAAGATCATGCTCACCTGTTAAAACAAGAGCAAATGTGGCTGGAGGTAGAGAGGACAGACAGCACCGATGGCCGTCCCAGGCGATGGGAAAGCGCCCTGGACCTGGCGTCGGGGGCTGGCGTGGCAGTTTGGATCTGCCGCTTCCTGGCATGGAACTTTTTTCATCCAGTCATTCGTTTTGGTAGAGCTCTTGGTCTCGGTATTTTCTCCCCGCATGTGAATTTAGTGCTTTGAATCATATCACCTTATGGCCCTTTCGCCTGGAGGAGTAAGTCTGCAGGACGGAGCCTGAGAAAGGCTTGCGCCCCTGACAGGTCAGTGGTGGGCAGACATTGCAGGAGGAGAGGCAGCAAGGCTCTGGAGCCAGTGCCTGGGAGTTAACCTGAGCATCCTGCTCACAGGGGCAAGACTCATTTCTTTTACTGTCAGGGTCCTACAAAGCCTGGCTTGTACTTCCTATTGCTCCAAAGATCAGAGGTCAAAGCTCCAAAGATAAGTGTGTTGTGAGGCCCACAATCAATTAACTGGTGACACCCAGATGAAGACTTATATTTTAATTTTCCTTTTGTAGTTCAGGCCTAGGACCTTGGCGGGCCAACAAGTTATCGCATCAGTGTGGAATGAGTCCTCCCTTAGGGCTGCAAGACCATCATAAGTTTGCTTCACTGGGAATCACTTGGAGGTCCCAGAGCCCACCTCCTTCCATAGGTCGTAGATCTGCCATCACACCCCACCCTTCAGGATTGGCCCTCGGTTATGGAATTGCCTGTCTTATGGCCAGACCTGGGGCTGCCCTCCGTCCATCTGGTAGAGGAAAGTCCTAGCGTCAAAGGCGGAGTGCAGCCTGATCGGGAGAGAGCCAGTAGCTCCCAGGGAAGCCATGGGCTGCTTGGAGGAGAGCAGGGCGGCCCCCCAGAGCCCAGCCAAGGGCTCTTCTCATGGTGGTGGGATGGCAGCTACCGACTGGCGCTGCTGAAAGCCTATGTGTGTTTCCCAGCAATATCACTACTGGGAATGTGTCTTTGGGGGTGGTGTGTAGTAGGGTGGGCTGGAGGAGAGAGGGTTAGTTCTTACAGCGATGTCTCCTGCCTATACTAAATAAGGATGGGCAAAATGGGCAGGAGCAGTCTGTGGTCTGCAAAGTGCTCTTGTAAGGAAGGAGCTGTGATTATTAGCTGTGTGTGCTGCAAGGGTACACCCTGCAGGTGGGGGTGGGACCAGGGAAGAAGGAGAGGGGAAATGCAGAGGGTCCTGCTGTTCCCCACACCACCACCCAGCCGTGAATGCTCTGTCTGTAGAGACAAAGAAGATGGAGGCACCTGCATGTGTGTCTCCAGGGAAGGTGACAATTGACCCCCTGTCAATGTTCAGGTGGAGCCTTCAGCCCTGTCTCCTAGGGGTAACCCCTCCCCACCGAGCACATTTCTCAGCTCCCATCCCAGAACTTCTATCGCAGAAATAGTGTGGACACATCCAGCACCCCCTCTCAGCACCTGGCAATGGGGAGATCCAGCTGGCACTCCAAGTGTGTTCAGATGGCAAGTGAAGTTCTATAAACCACATCCAAGGCCACTCTTACGTGTTCTTTTGTCTTCCAGAGCAATCCTGTTTTGTAGCTCATGTTAATAATCAGTGTGTATGGCTTTCTTAGGCAGAAATCTTAGGCGCAAGTCTTTTTTTTTTTTTGGCTCAAGTCTTTTTTGAAGGAGCTGCCACACCGCTGCTTGTTGACTTCTTCCTAATTGTGGTGACAGACAGGAGGGGAACCCAGGCCCAGGGGCTCTCTGTGTCACCACACACTTGCAGTGCCAGCTGGTTCTCCCCATTGCCAGGGACTGAGGGGGTGCTGGATGTGACCAAACTGTTTCTGTGATAGATGTTCTGGGATGGGAGCTGAGAGATGACACATCAGAGGTGTGCTTGGTGGGGAGAGGGTTACCCCCAGGAGACAAGACTGAAGATTCCACTCTGAGAACACCCCTTGGCAGGGAGATGCAAAAGGGTGAGCTTGAGCCAGGGCAAAGAGAGGGAGTAAGGGCAGAAATTCCATCTGTCCCTCCCCCAGAGGTTGAAGGGGAAGCGTGTCTAGAGAACGAGGTATTCTCTCCCGCGCTGGGGGAGCTTCGCCTCTGCTGCCGGGAAGCTCCCAGAAGACAGAAGAGCATTGAGCAGGCACAGAGTCCACAGTGCCTCTGCCCACACACCCACCCGTTACTGCCAGCCTGTGATCTGAGCTGTTGGATGGCAGCCCGCTCCCTGGGCACCATCCCTGGGCAGCAGCGGACACCAGGCTCTGTGTGTGGCGGGGTAGGGATGGAGACCCAGGGGCCATAGTGGAAGCGAGGACCAGGGGTTCCAGTTTGGAGTCCTGATTTTCTTCTTGTCATCAGTGAGTGGGGACACGGGGCACAGACACACACACACACACACATGCTCACCAAGAAGGCCCAAGGGAAGGCTATTTCCTGACAGAAGGGAATCCGGTGGGAAAGGCACATTTTAAAGGTCAAATATGAAAAGGCCATGCGTGGGGTCCCACCAGCAGTGAGTACTTACAGATACATATGCTGTCAGGCAGATGACCAGGGAGGCAGTGATAGCATAAGGGATGGATGTGTTGGGGTTCTTGGCTTCCTCTCCAGTGGTGGCAATGATGTCAAAGCCAATGAAAGCGTAGAAACATGTAGCCGCTCCTTGCAGCACCTGTGGGGAAGATGGCATCCATCAGATTCAGAATGTCAGGGCTTACGTGTGGCACTCACATCCACCCAGGGCCCGGCAGACTTCACTGAGGTGCAGGTTGGGGGGTGCGGGGGGACAGGGTAGAAACAGTGCTGAGCACTCGAGTTTTTATCACCTGGACTCTCCAGTTGGGTGACCCCTGGCAAGAGCCTTGTGTAAAATGGAGATCAGGGCCCTCTCTGGTGGCACAGCGGTTGAGCGCTGGGCTGCGAAACTGCCCACAGCCTCTGCAGTGCCAGTTCGATCCCTGGCCACCGATGAGGGTCCTACATGACACGCAGACCTCTCCTGCCATGCCCACTGCTCCCCTCAGCAGTGTACTTTGTCAGTCTGCCTGTTCTGCTCCCAGCTCTGGCTCTGGTGAATTCTCTCACCCTCCCGTGCTTCTGTGCTTGTATTAATAAATAAATAAATCTTTAAAAAAATGGAAATCAGAAGAATTATGCCCAAGTGAAAGTGGTCTTCAACACATTCAAATCATTTTTGGTTGTAAGTGGGGTGATTGGCTCTCCCTTCATCTTGGGGACTCATTAACCTTTCTTTGCTTTGCTTTCATTCAATGGTTCTCAACTACCACCAAGGGCTACATGACTATAATGACTCTGGTCATACATATGACTGTCGCTGAAGGATGTTTGGAAAACTGAGCAGGTACTTGTGACTACCACAGAGACACAGGGGCGGTACTGTTGGCATTTAGTGTGGGGACTCAGATGCTTCTCCACAAAGAAGATTTTCCACTAATATTCTGTTAGTGTCCCTGACAGAGCGTCTCCATGGTGGCTTCCAGATCTGGAACAACATAAAAGACTTTCATGTCTTCAGACACTCTGTTGTCTCTTGTGGGAATACAATGCAGAGTCAGTTTGATTCTTCTCCTTTGGGGGCTCAAGGGACCTATTTGGGCTATAACGCAGCAAAGATTTGAGGTGGAGGCAGCATAAGCTGGGCAGTGGTATCCAGTGACATCTGCTGGGTGTCTGTTTGACAGGCGCCTGCGGGGCTCCCAGTGGGCTTAGGACTGGTTAAGTCCAAGTGAAATCAAGACATCAGTAAACATCTTGCATTGAGGAATATGTTACTTTCTTCTGAACATGGCAGAAGTTTGAAGTTTAAATGACATTTCCCCATATTAGCATTTTCACTACCTGCTGAAAGTGAAAATTGTGCCTGTTTGTATGCTTGGGGATATCCCTTCAGGGGAAGATGAGAGATATTTCTGGACTTGTGTGTAAAAGGTGAGGGTCTGAGTAACATGCACTCTCTCCCCACGGCCCAGGAGTGACTCTGAGTGTAGACCAGGCCCTTACCTTTCCCACCGACTTATCAGTAAGAAAAGACAAAATAGTACATATTGAAACCTGCAAGGTACATCACAGAATTGAAGATCTCAGACTTTCCAAAGCAATTTTTGATCATCTGTAAAATGATAACATCTTCTCTACAGTCTTTTCCATTAGGGTCCTAATATTTCAGTTCCCTATATGGGGTTCTTATCTTGGGGTCCCATGCAATTCAGGAAAGTTTGAAAATTTTTGCTGACAAAAATACTACATCATTCAGGCCTCTGCCTGAATGTTAGCATTTCGTTCAATTATGACTGTGGGTGAAGAGCCAACAATACCTGTGACTTTGTCACCAATAGTGGTCAGGTATTTTCCTATCATGTCATGGTCATTGCTGAGATCTTGAAATTTGTGCTAATTGTTCCTTCCAAATTATGATATTTATTAGGCAAATCTATTACTATTTAAAGCATTAGTAAATACATTGCTGTCATATCACAATGTAAACATCTTAAATATTTCAGTAAAAATTGATTTCTTTTGAATTCCAATGTAATTAAGTTATTCACTTATCACACAATTCTCAGAAAAGGGGTCTATCATCTTCATCAGACTGACAAGGAGTCCATGGTACAAAAAAAAAAAAAAGAAAAATAAGTACAACTCCTGATGTATTCTAATAATCCAGGTAGTATAGCAAGAAATTCTCAAACAACTGTTGTTGCCAGAGGCCCACTTTCTGGGAGAGGAGATAACACCTAGTTTCACTCCTGTGAAGTCCTTTGTTTCAGGACTTTGAGAGATGGATCTCAACCTCAGCACACATGGATAGTCACAGGTTTGGAAACATGCTGGGTGTCACTTGTCTAGAATAGGTTTTTGTTCTTCGAGGATGGATGATGGAGTTGCTGGCTCATGAAGCTCCCCCAATCCAGGGAAACCTCACTGTAAGACAACTTACAGAACTTACAGGTCCTCTTTTCTCCATCTTTAGCATCTTCCTTGCACACATACACAGACACACATGTGCATACACATGCACACACACAGCGTAAATCATACAGTGAAGTAGTATGATGATCAGCAGGGTGACTCACTCCAATGAGGATGACCCAGGGCTACAGTGTCATGCCTATTTGGTGTGGTCAGTTCTGGATGGGAAATCCGAGGTGCCCGAAGAGTTTATGGTTGAAGAAATGAGGATGGGTATTTGGAGGTCCTACTGCATCAGGCAGGAGAGAGAACTTAACCCGGATGGTTAAATGAAACGATTTCAGAAAAGGCACTATAGGCACCAAGGCCAGGAAGACGTGAGGCAGAAATATCCTTGCTTCCTTGCTCTCTCCTCCCTTTCAAGTCTCCTGGTAATATCTTCACTGGCTAACCCCAGTGGGAGGCACACAGCTGGGGTCTTCTGGAACATAGACCAGCAAATGCAGGGTGGAGAATGGATCTGGGGAGTGGAGGCAAATGGAGAAAAATGAGCTAATTATCAAGATCAAATAGATCCTACTCTAAAAAGCCAGATATTTTCTAAACAGATTATCAAAGAGGAGATAATATAGTTATAAAATAAGGTTGCCTTTTCACTGGAGTTAGTTGGAATGGGCTTTTAACCTTGCATTCAACTGATCCCTGATTGGTAAATACAAAGGCGTCCAGAAGTGAAAGTGTGTCTCTACTAACCACTAGAGGTGTCTCTACAACCACAGACACTGCTTCCCACCTCACTCTCTCCATCTCAGTTATGGCCACTGGTATTTATGATTAGGACACCTTTCCACTCACACAATAAGTGTGTGTCATACTTAGGGCTGAGCATCTGCGAATGAAATTGATGGGTGCAGTGTATGTGCACATATAGGTTTCTGGGCTTATTGGCACTTCCCCCTAACTTTCCTTTAATGTTTTACATAAGTGAAAAGCAGTGCTGACTTTTTTTAGTTTTATGACATAAGCAAATGTTGTTCTCAAGGCTTTCTTGGTGTAGGTGCTCAGCCAATCTAGAATGGTCTGTCCCTCTATAGGTCTTTGAGGGAAGCAGCACATGCCTCCATCACTGGAGAACAGCTGCTTAATTAGTTGCCAGAAGCAATGTCACTTGTGGCCTGTGACACAGTGTGTGGGGACCCTAAAGCCAGCCCACTGTGCCCTGATGATATTTGCGAGGCATTAGACAAGACAGCCCTCTGTAGTCTACCTTGGTCAGATGCCTAGGGGAAAATCGGGCAGAAATCCACCTATATACAATTCACTCCCAAGGTAAGAAGACAAAACTCTAACTTAAATGGCCTTTTCTACCACTCACATGCCCCTGATCTAATCGCAGCCTGTCCACAGTGACAGTGGAATGTGCTGATAGGTTCCAATAAATGCATTCAAATGGGGGAACATGAAAAACAACTTCTCCTTTGGAGGCTGTTAGCATTCCCCACACAAGCTTGCTATGGACCATTTTCCTAGGAGCTATTTGTGCGGGTAGAGTGTCTTATTTTGTTAAAGAAAAACCATAAGATAGCATCGAGAACAAATAACATACAGGGAATACACATCCAACAATGTTCGCGGGCTGAGGAATTGCAGATGGAAGCAGGGGTTCATCCGAGGGCCAGCAGTTACTTGATATAGGGAAAAATGTTTGTTGTTCTTAAGTTCTTCAAAACCAAAGACGCATTTGGCCCAAAACCTGTAAGTGAGTAAACCATTCCTTAAGCTATTTTCTTTGGAAGGAAGCAATTGGAGCAGGGAAAGAGTAGGCTGATGAGGGGTCCATGGCCAAGGACACATAGCTCATTAACTCTTTCAAAGTACTTGAGAGTGTTTCAGGTTATGTGATAGTGAGCTATCTCCTCCACAATGGTTTCCAAATCCAATGGTTTCCTAATCCTACCTGATTAGTGATTGAAGAATAAAGTGGATCGGAACTCTGTACTAGTCCCCTTGCCAGGAGTAGGGGTTCTGACAAGCCCTATTTCTGAAGATCCTGCAGCTGCCAAGCAGGAAACTCACTTTTGTTGAGCTTGTTGGCTAACAGAGTAGGGAGCATGTTCATTAATTTGGTGGATAACACACTCACAAGAGGGTGTCAGACCTTAAAAAATAGAATTTATATTCAACATGACCTGGCTGAACAGGAAAAGTAACCTGAAACCTAAGTTGAGAAACAACATGTCCAGGCCAGTCTGTTAGGGAGGAAATGTACTACCCAGAAATCCAAGGCCAGGCAGATATCAAAGAGGATGAATCAGCAACATCTTTACACTGGACTGTTCTTTGTGCTCAGATGATGCCTTTAGTCACAGTTACTAGGGCACACTTTAGAACTTCTGGCAGGGATAATGGATTTGCAGCAAAAAAATCCAAAATCTCAGTCAAGCTTTTTGGTAGTCAATGACAAGCCTACTCAAGATAGTAGTTGTGAGCCTTCCCGGTGGCGCAGCGTGTTGAGTGCCACACTGTGAAGCTGTCTGCAGTCTCTGCAGCGCCAGTTTTATCCCGGATGGACGGCGAGGCAAAGCAGACCTCTCCTGTCTCGCCTGCTGCTCCCCTCAGCAGTGTATTTCGTCAGTCTGCCTGTTCTGTTCCCTGCTCTGTCTCTGGTGAATCCTTGCACCCTCCCGCACATCTGGCCTGTACCCTGGTTCTTGTATAAATAAATAAATAAATCTTTAAAAAAAAAAGATAGTAGTTGTGGGTCCTCCCTTGTGGTGCAAGGGGTTAAGACTCAACCTGTGAAGCTGTCAAGCTGGCCACAGCCACTGCAGCACGAGTTCAATCCCCAGCCAGGGAGCTACCCACATGGTGCAGCAGATCTCTCCTATCTCATCTGCTGCTCCCCTCAGCAGTGTATTTCAGTCAGTCTGCCTGTTCTGTTCCCCACTCTGTCTCTGGTGAATCCTCTCACCCCCCCCCCACTTCTGGCCTCTACCCCAGTTATTGTACACATAAATAAATAAATCTTAAAAAAAAAGATAGTAGTTGTGGATTGAAGTAGGTCAGAAGCCAAAGGTGCAATGAAAGAGAATTGGTGCCTTGCATCCAAAGCCAGGGAGAGGAGTAGATACAAACTCTTGCTCTTGCAGAACTGGGATTGAATTTTAGCTCAATTATGAACTCGTACTGTGACCTTCATGTTTCTGCATTTTAGTTATTTTGATGCTAAAGTGGAGATAACTGCACTTATTTTTCAGGGCTATTGTGAAGATTAAATGAAAAGTGTATATCAAAGTGTTTGTCAAAAGTAAATGTTAAGAGTTAGGAAAGTGGGGACTTCCTGGTGGCCTAGGGGTTAAGTCTCAGTTCTGTCACTGCTATGACCTGAGTTCAATCCCCAACCAGGGAGCTGACCCACATATGGTGCAGCAGACCTCTCCTCTCCTGTTTTGCCCACTGCTCCCCTTAGCAGTGTATTTCAGTCAATCTGCCTGTTCTGCTCCCCATTCTGTCTCTGGTGTATCCTCTAACCCCCTGCACCTCTGCCCTACACCCCAGTTCTTCTATACAAAAATAAATTTTAAAAAACTTAGGAAGGTCATCCTTCCTTCTTCTTTATACCTAACTTCTGCTCTTCTTTTCATATACAAAGGTTATGTGAAAATGGGGAGTCCCTCACGTTGGATTGAGTATTACCTTCCTTGATGAGATGGGCTGCTGACTGAGAAAAGACGTGAGCCCCCAGTGTGACCAGACCCAGAATAAAGCACAGGGGAAGTGCTCATTCAGCATCTTCAGCATGGATGGGCAAAGTGTGCTTATACAAAGGATATTAACTCTTTCCAGTCTTTACATGGGGCCTAACCTATAGTGTGTGCCATTTAGGTGAGCTATTTAAGAGGATTTTGAAAATTCAACATGAATCAGGTAAGTAAGAAAAGTTTTTCAATTGCTTGACATGTAATAAACAAGGCACCTGCAACCTGGGCTGTTTTAACTGCACTTCCATATGAGACCAGAAAAGAAACCATGTCTTAATGCTCCTCTTAGTTCAATACTCCATGTCTGTGAGAGCATAAAGAAAAAGAAGATGCATCATTTGACATTAATTACCTTATTAGTTTTTTTGTTTAATTTAAAGAAGCCTCGGAAGGACCTCCCCTGGTGGCGCAGTGGTTGAGTGCTGGGCTGCGAAGCCGCCTGCAGCCTTTGCAGCACCAGTTCCATCCCCGGCCGCTGGTGAGGGTCCCACATGGCGTGGCAGACCTCTCCTGCCACGCCCGCTGCTCCCCTCAGCAGTGTACTTCATCAGTCTGCCTGTTCTGTTCCCTGCTCTGTCTCTGGTGAATCCTCTCACCCTCCTGTGCATCTGGCCTGTACCCTGGTTCTTGTATAAATAAATAAATAAACAAATCTTTAAAAAAAAAAAAAAAGAAGCCTCGGAAGGGAGGTTTCATGTACAAGGTATTTGACATAGTGGAAAGGACCTGGAGTTATCAAGACGTGGGTGGACACGAGTTTCAACCCTGGCAGACTAGCTGAATGGCTTCAGTGAGTAACCCAGCCTCTCCAAGCCACGGAGTCTCCATCTGTCAGTTAAGGGTAGCAGCACCTGCTTTGAAGTTTGTTAGAAGAGGGAGATAATATTCGCAGAGCACAACGCCAGGGATCTAAGGGTCAGGGGACACATTCTCGTTCTTTCCTCCTGTCATTATCACTACTGCTAACTATACAATACACACATAAAAACACCCCCCCCCAAATGTTTTTTTTGGCAAACATTTGATGTGGTTCTTTTTTCCCAGTTGGTAGATGAGAAAACCTGAAGAAGTTAGCACAGACGTGAGCCATTGGCCAAAGTCTTAGTGTTAGTCACCACCCAATGATTTCTTATACTGTCAAGAAAATGGTGAGAACATCCTCATGTGCTATGATGAAAATGCAGCTGAGTTCCGGAAAAACAATCTTTCTTTGTCACTTTTGTAATTTGTTGTTTCTCTTATGTGATAGGAAAGACATGTTTTGTATCATAAAATAGACTTGAGGATTCAAAGGGGTCAACAATGTTTCTTTGTCATTTCTTCTGGTTTTAACCAGTTTTAGGATTTATTCAAGGAGGAGGGATGAACTTTGTAGTTCTGGGGAATTCCTACAGATAAGCAGAAGACTAGAAATCTTGGCTTATATTCCTCCCTTGCTATTTCTCTGCATTGAACAGTGTGGCAAAATCACTTCAGCATAAACTGAAGTTATTTTGAATGTTCTCCAAGAGGGATTTCTGGTCTCTGGACATCTTGGAGGAAAACCTGGCTAAACAAAAACTACCAAAGCAGCATTGGTGGAATCATAGACTTTTCTTTTGCTACCAGCCCTAGGCAGGTTTTCCTCCCTCAGCCTCAACCTCACCTATTACATGAAAGGATAGGACAGGTGACCTCTAAGATCCTTTCCAGCTTGAAGGCTCTGATTTATGTTCTACTATTTTAAAAAAGGGTGGATGGGTGAATTTTACCAATAAATCCATAACGCAGGAATGTTACCTACCCCGGAGAAAGAACCCAGGTGCCACTTAGCACTGCTTGTCAGTGTGAAGAATTCGCCACTTTGACCTGCCCATTTTTCTTTCGTGTAAACCACACCATGCAGATCATGGGGGTGAGATCTGAAGATGTCCTTTTGGCCCTGCCCACACTCTTGCCAAACCCCAGAATGCACCAGGTAGGCTTCTCTGCCATAAATCACACCTCTGGAATGGATTTATAGCCCCAAACCCACCGGAGCTTCTCAAATACCCTCAGAACCCAACAGGGCTCGCCGTCTTGGGTCAGATGTTTGGATTGTATTGAAGAATTGTTCTTTCCTACTGTTACTCAGTGATCAAGAAAGATAAACTCATGCCCTTTGCAGGAACATGGATGGAGCTGGAAGGGATTATGCTAGCCAAAATAAATCAGAAGAAAAAAAGATAAATATTGGATGGACTCATTGTATGTGGAATATAGAGAAACCAAACAAAAGGTCAAGAAAAAGTCAAAACTAGTAAGCTGAGCATAGAATTGAGACATACAGCAAAGAAGGGAGATGGTGGGGGGCAAAACAGGGGAGGGATGAACACAAGGAAATCTGGTGATGATTCATGAGTGATATGGTGGCGGGACAACTATGGGGACCATAACGATGTATGAAAAAAAAGTTAATAAAAGAAAGTTCAAAAAAAGTTGTCCTTTCCCAGTTCTAAACCCAGGTGACACTCATCCCTTCCCTGCATGTCCACTCTCCCTGGCCTCCTTTATTGCCTTGTCTGCTGTGGATTCTCTGTCTCTCTGAATAGACTGTATGTGGAGAGGTTCTATAGAACTGAATGCTCCTGTACAGGCTTTGGAACCACGCAGTCCTGGCTTTGGGTCCCGACTCTGCCACTTACACCATGTGCTTGATAGCCAGTCATTGGGCCTCCCTGAAGGTGATTTTCTTCCTCTGTAAGACCAGAATGTAAATATCTCCCTTGCAAGGTTATTGGGAAGATGGAGTGGTATATTACATTCAAAGCACTTAGCACAGTATTAGGTATATTGTTATTCATTAAAATAAGATCTCAATAGATGTTTGTGAAACAAGAAAAGAGGAAGCACTTTTCCAATGAAGTTCAGATACAAGGTGATGAGGAGGGTGCCATAAAGAGTATGAGATGTGAAAGCATTCCTCAGGCTGGTCACCAGGAGGCAGACAGGGCAAGGGATAGGTGCATCAGGAATGAACTCACCCCTGACCAGCCATGGGGCAAGAACTGGCCCTCAGCCCAGTATTTCCCATTGATGAAGAAGAGGCCTGCGATCATGATGAACACCCACACCGCCAGGTTCAGCACGTTGAGGACGTTGTTGAGACCCACGGAATTCTTCACCCCCAGAGCAACGATGATGGTGACGATGACAGCGATCACTAGAGCCAGAAGGTCAGGGTAGGATTCTTCACCTTTCCCTGAAGGGGAGAGACATGAGTTAGTTTTCTCCAGAGTGGGATGGGGGGAGGGCCACACCAACTTGCAGCCCCACTCCACAGCATCTGTGCTCAGTGATGGGAAGGCTGGTCAGTTGGTCAAGGAGGGAGGAGACAGGACTGTGTGTGTATGCACGTGGGCGCCAACAGTGTGGTCGCCCAGCAGATACAAGTCTCTACTGGCAGATGGGCAGGTTTTGGTTTACAGGTAAGATGACTGAGTATCCTGAACCCAAATTTTGGCAACAGTGCTCCCTGCTCATGGAACTAGGACACAGAACATTCAAAGTTGGGACAGTCCTGGGACATTGGAATGTACATACGGTCTTGCATGTTATTTGAAAACTGCTTTTTTGGGCCTCCCTCGTGGTGCAGCATATTGAGCGCAGTGCTGTCAAGCTGTCTGCAGCCTCTGTAGTGTGGGTTCAATGCCCGGTAGGCCAGGGAGCTACCCACACAGTGAGGCAGACCTCTCCTGACTCGCCCGCTGCTCCCCTCAGCAGTGTCGTTCAGTCAGTCTGCCTGTTCTGCTCCCTGCTCTGTCTCTGGTGAATCCTCTCACCCTCCCGTGCCTCTAGCCTGTACCCCAGCTATTTTATAAATAAAAAAAAATTAAAAAAAGAATATTTATAAAATAAAAATAAAAAAAAGAAAACTGCTTTTTCTTTATTGCTCATTTTCTAGTCCACACATTTCCATTTTTATTCAGTAATCTTTTCATTATTAGCAAGTTAAACAATGTGTTTCTTCGAAAGCTATTGTAAGAATAGTGTTCTTTCCATTTATGTCTGTGTGGTTGCAGAGGAAATGAGCAGGGAACATGCCCAGCCTGCTTGGTCTTGTCTGTTGGCCAATGGACTCCTGCCCTCTACAGAGTGGAAAAGGCACTGCCTCGCAGTCAGGCTCCAGAATTTTGCTTGGGTGTTTTCCCATAACTAGCCGGGTGGCCTTGGACTTCAGCTGTCAAGTTGAGGAGTTAGACTAAGTGATTTTGAAGGACTGCTGACCTAAAGTTCCATGCAATCAGTATATGGAGCAGATATGATCTCCATACTTTCTTTTTTAATGATTTATTTTATTATTTATGCATGCAAGAACTGGGGTGTAGGCCAGGGGTGCAGGGGGAAGGGGGTGAGAGGATTCACCAGAGACTGAGGGGAGCAGAACAGGTGGATTGAGTGAAATGCACTGCTGAGGGGAGCAGTGGGTGAGACAGGAGAGGCCTGCTGTGCCATGTGGGTCGCCTTCCTGTCAGGGAATCAAACTTGTGCTGCAGTGGCTGCCGATAGCTTCATACTGTGGTCTCCATACTTTTTATCTTATCAGGATATCTGTGTGCTCAGTATCTTTGCCAATTATTCTGAGATAGAGAATCCAAAGTCAAATGACTTGTACCTGGCCTCAGAATCAGCCCTTCGAAGTTCTGGAGCAAGGCCCCAAAGTCCCTCAACTATTGTCTGACTTTCCATGAATGCAAAAGGAGAGTCAGATACCAGGATGGGAAGAGGGTGGCAAGTGATGGATGGAGTCTGAAGTCTCACAGTATTTGTTATGTGAGTGTCTGATTACTTAGCATTCAGTTACAGCAATCCTCTTTGATCTCTGCTAAAATGGAATCTATTTTGTTCCTTTTATAAACATACTTTCTTATTTAAAAATTCATGCTTTTTAATGAAAATTAAAATAGATCTTCTAATGATACCACTTGAGAACTTTTCTTATAGTTCCTTTTCCTGTGTTGGTCTTATATTTACATAGTTACTGACATGACACATATATAGTTTCTATCTTTTGTCGGGTGACATGAAAGCAGAAACATATTTCATGTTAGTACAACAGTCAAATCATTCTTTTAATTGCTGGCCTCATAATACTCTTGCACAATTTATTTAATTAGTTGTTCCATTGTAGAATATTAGGACTGTTTCTGATTTTTTTGTTATTGTAAATAAGGCTGTGCTGAACATCTTTTTGTGTACAGCTTTTGTGGAAATTAGAGTGAATTCCCTTATAGATTCACAGGGGAAGAATCACTTTGCCAAAAAAAAAAAAAAAAAAAAGGATATAATAAAAGCTCTTGAACATTTGTCAAAATGCACGCTGAGAAGGGAGCCCATTAATTTGGCTCAGTAAGACTGCAGGTTGGTGTAAGAGGATGTGACAGGTCTCACCCAGGCCATTGAGGGTCCCCACGGTGTCCACCATCCACCGGCTGATGGTGTGGTTGGCCAGCGAGTCAAACATGCTGCTGAGAGCGCTGGCACCAGCCGCAGTACCAATCAGGTACTCCAGGATCAGGTTCCAGCCGATGAAAAATGCCACAAATTCTCCAACAGTGACATAGCTGTAGGTGTAGGCTGACCCCGTGGTCTTGGGGACCCGAACTCCGAACTCTGCATAGCAGACACCTGCATGGGTGGGCAAACACACATGGGGGGTGGAATTCAGATGAGTGAATCATCTTGGGTGGAAAATATTGGCAATTGCCGGAAACTTAGAATAAACACACAAAGTTTTATGGATATGAAGCAACGTCTGACTTCCTAACTTCCTTCCTTGACATGACACGTATTGTTAAGTGCCTGCTAAGTGGACACTAGTGAATACCAGACACACTAGTGCCTACTAAGTGGACACTAGTGAATACCAGACACACTAAAGATAAGTAAGGCAGATCTCTTGATCGTATAGCATCTATTTTCCAATCAGGAAAGAGTTTAAATGATTCCACATGACCAGTTTTAATACTGCAGAGTGTTTATGAGGTGCTGCTGTTGGAGTTCCCTGGGGTAAGTATGGTTCCTTGGTTGCACGGGCAGCAGGGAGGAAGGAGGAAGCCTTTTGTTTTGCATCTTGGAGGGTGAGCTGGGCTTTGCCAAGAAGAGAAAAATGAAGAAAGAATGGTGTCAGGCCAATGAAGAGGCATAGCTGGAATGACACTTGCTGGCTTCTTTAAGGAATGAGGAAGATGAGTCTGCAGAGCTGGAGTGTAATCAAGTGATTGAGGAAGTAGGCCCTTTTTAATAGGTTGGAGGAATCTAGCTGAAAAGGACTGTGCAGTTGATCTATTCTAACATTTTAAAGGTTTGCATTTGTTATAAGCCTTTTTTTTTTTTTTTTTTTGGCACACAAAGTATTACTTGAGAGCCCAGTACATAAAGAAGTAAAAGCAGGTGACTCAGTTTAAGATAGGTGGGAGTCCTGAGGTTGGTCTACTAAAGATCTGCTTCGTCCCCTACATCCCCAAGGTTCCTGACCCTCCTCTGCGCACCCACAGAGCACAGCATGGGGATGAGAGTCAACTGTTCATTAGGATTGTTCTCTCACATCATACGTGATGCAAATGAACCCAGACCTGAAGGACATATTTAATGACAACTGGGAGCTAGAACTGAAGTCTCCTGATGCTGCTGTAGGAGTTTTCCAATTCATTCATTCATTTATTCATAACAGTTATAAGGTACGATCTTGATGATTCTATGTTAGATGCTAGGGATGAAAAGGTGAACAGTAAGAACCTATTCCTTTTCTTTGGGTCTTATAGTGTAGTGAGGAAGAAAGCCTTGATAGCCAACAATAGAATAAAAGAAGAAAGGACACATTGGTTGTGGGGGTTGGGAGGAAAATGTGTGAGCTGCTTTAAAGGACTACAGAATTGAATTTTGCAGTAAGACAGTCAGTCAGAAGGACTACCTGATGGGAAAGAGCTAAAATGGGGAGTGGAGGGAGTGGAAAATAGGCCAACTCTGCAGTTTCACTCAGGCCCCTGGGGTCAGAGCATCTTGAATGCAGCTCAGAAGGTCACACTGTGGGGGATGGGCCACCAGTAGTGGACACTGGGCTTGATTAGTTGTTGTGAACATACTGTGTCTTTGATCCTGCCTACTGGGGAGGTAGAAGGTTTGGGGTTGGCTGATCTGGCGAATGGATGAGGTCAGTGAATCCTCATTCATGAGGTCAGCTCCTCCCAAGTGCCAATTATCTGCCATCTCCCAGACCCAGGACTCAGTTCAACATGCCAATCCGGCCCCAAACATGTCTTTCAGAAGGTCCTCACCAAAGATGGCCTTGTGCTAAGATGTTTGTTACCCACATCTGTTTCACTTTCTTACTTTTCTTAAAACATCTCTGTTTATATATACATTCACGGAAGGGCTAGATATGTTGCATATTTTGCTGTGAATACTACTGCTGTTTATATACATGTGAGGGGTAGAAGGAGAAATCACAGGGCCTCAGAGAGAAATAGAGTGTGAATTCTCTTGGAAACATTCCTTTTCTCTGTGACATTGGATTCCAGATGGCGGCTAATGGAGTTTCCCCATCCTAGCCATCTCCCTTCACAAGCTGGTCGCTGTGTTCTGAGAAACATCTATTTTGCCTCCTCAGAGTGTTGGGATCCTGCGATGCTGCACTGATATTCTTTTCCTAATGTTCTTGGTTAGCCAAGAAAATTGTGGGTTTGTTTTCCAGGGTGTCATCTCCCTTCCTCCCACCTCCTTGCTTCTGTCTCTTCACCTGAGCAGCCTTGGCCACTCCGTCACCTGTCAGCAAAGTCGAGGCAATTTTTACAAATGCGTCTGGAAGAAAAGCAATTTGTCTGGGAATGCCTACGTTTCTTTGTGTCTTGGACGAGACTTATAATTTTTCTGCCAAAGCAGGCTCCAGGGGGACAGGAGGAGCCTGTATTTAGGGACAGGCAGTGTCTTCAATCAGGGTGTGTGCCACACCATTAGTTACGGAGCTTGACAGGCCTCCAGTTAGAGCTGGATCTGGAGCAGAGCGCTCCCAGCTCCCCAGCCGCAGCCCCACTGTGTCCACGTAGAAACAGGAAAGAAAGGCTGTCCTCATAGTCAGCAAAGTTACCACTGAAACAGGTGAAGAAGTTCAATAACATGCTGATTAAATGGGACCAGACTCTCTGTCTGGTCTCCACCTTTCTGGAGGTTATGGGAGGTACAGTTTCCATGTGATAATTTAAGCATTATATTGCCTGGTGGTGTGCTTGTTGATTGTCATCATTAGTATACACTATTTGACTTGCTTGCTTCACCAGATGATGAGGAGGATGGTATTGATGATGACACTAATTATAATACTCATGTGGTGGCCTCCAACGGAAGACCATGAAAGTGGGTTCGTTGAACCCATTTTGGTCTTTCTGTGTTTCCAAGGTGGCAGGAGGCTGGAAGTGCCCTTTTCTCTGCTTCTGACATTGTTAGGTAGGTGACCTCAGGTTAGCCAGAGGTCCAGTGGATTGGGTGCCATGCTTAAGGCCACTTGCAGTGAAACTTGAGTTGCCATTCATCATGCTCTGACTGCGTGTCAGGCCCTGGGCCAAGTGATCTGTGTGCATTTTCCCACTGAATTGTATAACCACTCTCTGGGGCTGTGGCCAGAGAGTTGGTAGGATCTAAGTTTTTTATGTGTGTGTTTACAAGTTTATGTGTGACAACAGGCTATGGTGGAGGACTTATGGGTGCTTTGGAAGTGGGAGAGCTACGAGGATCCCGCTGCGAGGGTGAGGCTGGAGGGCAGCGTGGCCCCTCTTCATGGGATGCTGTCAGCATCGCAGGCACCTATTGCCTGGCCATCGTGCCTTACTCATACCCAGCTCCCATGTCAGCACAGGGTTGAGGTTGCTAACATAATCACTTCTTCACTTTTGTCACGATACCCTGTTTAATTTCCTTAGAGCACTTATCACAATTTAAATTATTATATATTTATTTATTTATTTTCTAAGGCTCTGCTTATTTGTCTGCTTTGAAACACAGACATATTATAGGGGGCTGTCCCTTAGAGATGGGAATTCCATGGGGGCAAGAACCTGCAGAGTCCAGAGTAATCTCTACACAAGGTACGTCTGGAGAGAGGGTCTTTTGCTGCTGGGTCTTTTGCCAGGTGTGCACAAGAGGGGCTTTGAAATCTGAACCAGGGACTGCTCATTGGCATTCAGATCAAATGTAGTCTTGTTAAGTTGGGCACTTGGTCAGTAGCAGAGATAATAACAACAACAAACATTACTGAACATTTACTATGTGCACCAGCTATACTTGTACATAAGTCACTTTACATACAAGATTTTAATCTTCTCAAGACGTTTATGATGTAGAGAATATTATTATTTCCTTTTACACATGATGACTCCAAGATCTAAATAGGACTTATCAGGACTTCCCAACCTTTTCTCCTTGTCAGACACACCTAAAAAATGATATTTGTATGACTGTATTTATATGATTATATGTAAAAGGGAAGGTTGCGCCCAGAAATATCTGCCTGGTGCACCATCCTAGCTGCCCTGAGGGTGGGGGCTCAATACCTTGGCACATCTGTAATTTTTGGAAACTTGTTTGGGGTATTCTAGATGAAGTACATTTTCCAAGTCACACATAAATAAAAGAGCAGGGTTTTTAAGCAACATGGATCAGCTACAGGGACAAATTGCATTTGCCTCCTAGATGTAGCATGGGTTTGGGGTCTGTGTGTGTGCGTGTGTGTGTGCGCGCGCACATGCGTGCGCACCTCGCATGTAGGGAGTTGGGACATTGGACCTATCTTTATGTATCTTTCACTCCCTGGGTTCTTCTTCATCCTAACCCATACAAGCAATCTAATTCAAACTCTTCATTTTTCAGAAAAGGCAATTGAATTTGAGAGATGTGAATGAATGACTTGCCGAGGGTCCTGAGCTGGTGAAGGACAAAGTTGGAACTAGATCTCCACTGTCCTGAGCTCTGACTCAGACCCTGTTCCTGGCAGTGCTTATGATTATTTCATGTGTGCCTGTCCTGTTTTTTCACATCAACCTCACACTCTTTGACCCAGAGGTCCTCCCGCTGTGTCCCACAGCACCCTGCCATGCGGAGCGCAGGACAGGTGACCAGTCCTCCCACAGCAGCACAACCTGCTCTCAGGGTGCCCTGTCCACTCTACAGGTGCTGTAGAAGATGGAAAAGAAGCCCAGATCATCTGAATTTTCTGGAAGAAAGTTATTTTTACAATCAGCAATTTGAGAAACTTGCAAATTTCCACGCAAAGATTCTCACTTTCTCTAAACTGGAAACTGACATCATTCTTACAGGGCTGTCAACCCAGCCTAGAGAGAAGAGTGATAGGCACTTCACAACACCCTCTCATTGCTGACAGGTAACAAAAGACTCTGAACTTAGAAGTCATTTTCATGACCTGGGTTAAAAAGTTCTGATCTAAGAAAGTGCTCTCCTAATCAGTGTAAGAGGGTGAGCTGCAGGCTCTTCTGAAACCCCAATAAGCGTGAGGGTTTCCTTGATTCACTTGATTTATTTTATTGAGTTTTAAATTTGGGGAACGGGGCATCCCCTGGTGGCACAGTGGTTGAGTGCTGGGCTGCGAAACTGCTGGCAGCCTCTGCAGTGCCGGTTCG